GCACTTCAAACGTAATCTAGATAGTCCTCCGATTGAGCTGAACATCCTGGAAGAAATGCCGGTAGGTTCTAGAGTCGGCGTGATCGAAGCGGTCGATGAAGATATTGATGAAAATGGGATGATTGATTATGAGATTGTATATGGGAACGAAGCGGGGTTATTTGTGGTGCAGCGCCTGGAAAATAATTCCGCGATCATTAAATCAAACGGTCGTCTCGATCGAGAAACTGCCGAGTCTCACTTGCTGACCGTGAAGTGTTTCAAGTACTCTTCCAAGAAATGGGATATAGTGCCAAAACCATACAACAAGCAAGATCCTTCAGAGAGGCAAGTACTCATCAAGGTTCTGGATAGCGATGATAATAAGCCGCGCTTCAAGAAGGACAACATAACTTTAGGGGTTCGCTTGAACGTGCCAATCGACACCAGTTTGATCACATTGGAGGCCTATGATGCCGACTCCAGCGCGTTACCCATCAACTACAACATGAGTAAAGTATCCTTTACATCTCTAGTTGATCCTTCTATGTCACAGAAGGAAATACCGTCGCAATTATCTTTGAATGCGAACACCGGCGAGCTCAGGACGACAGGTTCCATGGCGGGATACGCGGATGGTTTCATGGAGATGATCATATCAGCAAATAACTCGGTGACGCCAGGAGGCGAGACTAACATTACTGTGAGGATCTTCCTGTTGCGCGATCGCGATATGCTGAAGTTCGTTTTTTCGAAGCCGCCAGTTGAAGTCAGGAAGACATTGGAGGACTTCGAGAAGGCGGTCCAACAAGCTCTTTCATTGCCAATCAGTGTCAACGTCTACGATACACAGTTCTATTCGAAAGAAGACAACTCCCTGGACTTTTCGTCGACCAGTTCATGCTTCCAAATGGTCGGCAAGGAATCTTATGATTTGGACGAGATGCGATCGTTGTTAACTGATCCGAGAAATAAAGAGTTGAAGAAAGTATATAGAACATATCATGTGGAGAAGGTGCAGCATTGTGCCGCTGTGGTAGCCCGCGCTGATGCCTCTATGACGCAGATTTGGGTCCTAGCTATTGCAGTCCTCGTCGGAATTGCTACAATCATCTCCAGTTGTACACTATGTTGCATGCATGCCAAGTAAGTGGCAATTTCTTAATCTCATTGCTAGTAGTTAGTTAATATAGTTAATACATATAATCACTATACTCAATATGGCCTACTTAACTTGCGACTTTTTAAAATTTTTTGTTAAATCCAAGTATTATCATTTCATCATTATAATCCTTACTATAAATTTGATATAAGACTCATATGTAAACAGTATATGAAAGATATACGAATCATATCCGATTGTCTATGAAGTGTATGCGAATTTTTTACGAATCGTAGGATGCGATAACATATTAATTGCATGATTGGACACATGATTGTATACGATTCGTATAAGATTCGCATATACTTCATAGACGATCGGATATGATTCGTATGTTTTTTACATACTGTTTACGTACGATCTTATACAAATCGTGTCCCATTATCATACTATATACCATCACATATGATTTTGTCTTGTGCGACTCTTTCACGGTAAGCAATAATTATTTATTATTAGAAGCTATATAATTAATTTTTATTTTCTCATTATTTCACTGACAAATGGAACGTCGGATCAAAAAATATATTTCTTTTTCAGATATAAACGGCAAGTGAAACACGCGCGTTTGCGCGATCAACCGCGACCACCTCTCAGTTATGTCTCTTCCGGACCAGCTATAGTCAGTTCTGGATCTCATACAACTTTGGGACCTGGCACAATGGTCACGTTAGGTCCACATGAAGGCCCATATGAATGGGGTGCCGATACAACACTTTACCATCCGAGTACGTTAGGCTCGAGAACGTAGAAATTCGGGACAGTAAGAAATGTTTTTGTAAATTATATAAATTTGTTTTAGACGAAATATTGTTTATTTAAAAGCAAATTGTAAAAAAATCAATTATTAAACAAAAGCCAATTCCGTAATGAAAATGTTTGTTCTAAAATTAATTGAAATTTTATTTTAATGAAACCATGTTATTTATATATAATACTATAATATTTAATATTTAAAAAGTAAAATAAAATTGTCGCTAAGAAGAAATCGATTAAAATGTTTTCAAAAATGGTGATTTTTGATAAAACTTTTTAAAATACAATTTTTTTTCTATGTAATCTCAGCAGATTTTATAGGTGTAGTAGTAATAAATTGAAGTATGGTGAAAAAGATGCACTCTGCAAGTTACAGAACTATTAGGCAATATGTAATTTATGAACTTGCAGAGAAAGAATATAATTCGTTGGTGCTATATTCATAATGTAAAAAGTACTGTATGATTTAAGACGTGCGCATGTAACGAAGTATATGGTTTGTAAAATTTGATGTGTTATATTTTTAAGTAATTTTAAGATTAGATTATATATAATAGCATAGAAATATACAAGTCTAATATATAAGTAAAATATATAATTATAAAAACTCTTGACAAGAGAGAAGAGAAAAAGAGAGAATTTAGATTTATATATTTTATTTATACTATACTTGTGATATTGTTAAGAAGTTACAAAAGCGTGTGTTGTAATATAATGTAACATTATATACATTCGTATTTAAGACAAAATAAAATTGTACATTTTATAGTCAACAATATATACATTTTCAAGTTTGTATAAATTAGTTTTGTTCATTATTTATTTATTGGTGTACAACTTTGCTTTCGCCGTTTTTTTTCTGAAATTCGAGGCATCATTCCCATGGTTTTGAGGCGTTTTGAAATGGCTTGTTGAGTCACTCCCAATGATCGTGCTAATTCTTCTTGATTTTGACACGAATCTTGATCAAGTAATAATGCCTCCAATTCTGCATCTTCGAAAACCTTCTCTCTTCCACCGCTATGCCGGTCTTCGACGTCAAAATCACCATTCTTGAAGCGTTGAAACCATTCACGACACGTTCTTTCACTAATAGCGGCCTCACCATAAGTATTTGAGAGCATTCGATGAGCCTCAGCCGCAGATTTCTTCATATTGAAGCAGAAAATTAAAACCTCCCGCAAATGACGAGAATTTGGCTCGTAAATTGACATTTTCAATCGAGAATAACTTTATGATGCAGACACAAATCGACTAATGCTTCTATGGGGTTATGTCGACAGATGCCCAAGTTTATTGTATGACGTCTATCTATTTATTTCGTCCACCACTTACTGGTAAAGCCATCTATAGGAAAACGGCGGAAGCAAAGTTGTACATCAATAAATGTTTAATATGATAACCATCTATTTATATTAGCTAATTGTGAAATAATTTATAAATCTATTATAATTTTTTTCAAATAACATAATACATATTACAGGATTAATTTTTATATATCAAAAATGGTTTATATATTAGAGAATTGTTAGAAATAATAAAAATTTACATTATTAAAAATTCTTTCTACTTGTAAATACTGAGATATATTAAGAGCTAAATAAAAAAATAATATAAAAGGTTTATATTTAAACTCCAGTATTTCAAATCGATTTAAACTCCTTCAAAATTGACTGTAGTGTATATATATATATATATATATGTATATATATATATATAATTTATACATATAATGTAATTTTCTCGATTAATTCACATTGAATTGAAGCTTTCTTTAGTTGTTTTGTTAATCTCATCTTCTAAATATACATTGTATCAACGTCGTAATGGCCTATGAAGCAATCCTCTGTTAAGCGACGAATATCTCCGTTCACGCTGAAGATCACGAGAGATTTCCGAATGCCTTTGACGAAAATGTCAAGGCAAGAAAGCAAGCCGAGCAGGATTCAAGCAGATCATAAACATGGTATTTGAATATTTGTCTGGTTATATGAAAAGAGCACATTGATCATCTTTTTATTTAAAGTCTTGACGTATAAACCAGAAACGATCAGTCACTTCCCGCACCGATGATTAATGAAAGTTTGTCGTGCGATTATTGAACTCAGTTGAAATCTCCATATTACCTTGTCGAGATACATGCTATTATAGCTTCATTACAAATTGGCGGCTTTTTCTTATGTATTTTTTATATTCTTTTTTAGTAGGTAGCTAAGAATATATAAAAATCACCATTTAAATGTTAAGAATTAAAATTTGTATAAATTAATGTTATTTGTTTTATTTAAAATAAGTAAAATTCTAAATTCAAATTCCTGAAATTGTCTAAAATTAAATCGTAAAAAAAAAGAGCCAATGAGATTCAAAGCACTTTAAACTGTTTCATTTTGCTTTGAGTAGTTTTCAGCACAATAAATTAAAAGATTATTTTATTTATTTATAATATTTGCAACGATAGATTTTTGAATAAAATTTTCAAATGTTTTAGATAAATATACATATTTCAAATATCGAATTAAAAATGGTTTAAATAATAAAAAAAGGAAACTAACATTTTATTTAAGAAAAATGATTATTCAAGAAAAATGATTATAGAATCCTTTCTCAAAATAAGCAAAAAGTAATTTTAAATAACATAAAATATAAATTGCTTTTTAAAATATTTTGATTATAAGTATTTTTCAAAACGCAGATAAAAATTTGTCCAGCTAAATATGAGTAAAGATGCTATTGATGTAATTGTCACTTTTATACCTTTTCTTTCGACATCAAAAGTATTCTCCTAAATTTATATTTATATTATATACATAATATATAACATTATGTTTTTCTAAAATTAAAAAATAAATCTTAACGAAGAAGTTACAATTAAAAAGAGCATACTTAATAGAAGAACTACAAAAATATATTTTAAAGAAACGAAGCATACAATAACAATTACATTAGATATAAACGGTCGGTGATTCAAGTAAGATATAGCGACACGATGTGAAATTTTTTGTTTACATAACATTAGAATGTCCCGCATATCGAATTATCAAGAAATATTTGATAACCTTTTCTCACGAATCACGTCTTTAGTAACTGTATTTTTAATTTAATCTCAGCGCAAGAAACTGAAACGTCGAGATCTTTCGACAATATCAATATCCTTGGAGCTATCGATCATTGTTGCATTGTCGCAATTCGCACAATCTTTCTCTGTAGTCACGACCAATTTTTGCCCATTAATTTCATGATTCTCCGTGTTGGCATAATCTTCGTCGATGCTTACTTTATGATTGGGAGGTACGATAGGATCTCCTACGGTACCATCGCTGTTAACCAAATCTGAATAAATTTCTGGATCGTTATCTAGTACAAAACTTCCATCTCTCTCGTTCTTTTCATCCAAACTCATCTCGTGATACCGTGATATCGGAAGATTGGCTACATCTGAACTTTTATTCTCTATAAACTTCGACTCTTCGATCGCAGAATGATCAGTCAAATGTTTAGTAATTGATTCTAAGGGAGACATTATCTTCTTTGCAAATTTTTGCCGCTCCTCGGGTCCCATCGATTCTGATTTGTGTATGATATCATTCCTAGAAGTCAAATTAAAAATATTAAATAAATAATTAAATTTTTTACAAAGACATGTATTTTTAATTTCTTTATAAATATAAAAGTGAAGCAATTATTAAGTTCAATATAATTTTAATTGCAAGACAAACATCAAGTTTGCCCTATACCTAAATGAATTTTTTTTAGAATTTTTATATAAATTAAAAAATTTTTCATATAGCATTTGAATAATTTTTTGAAAAAAATTTTTCCGATTTTTTATACAAATTTATAGTTATTTTTTTTTTAGAAGTATAGACAAAAAATTTATATTTTTTCTAGAATTTTTCATATATGTATATTAATAATGAAATCTAATATATTACAAAACAAGCAAGTGAGAGTAAATTTAAAATCTACGCGGTTGTCAATGCGTTAAAATATAAATATATTAAAAATCTCTTTCAAAAGATAACAAAAATTACAAAATTACAAAATTCAATTGAATCATTTTGTAATTTTGTAATTTTTGTTATCTTTTGAAAGAGATTTTTAATATATTTATATTTTAACGCATTGACAACCGCGTAGATTTTAAATTTACTCTCACTTGCCTGTTTTGTAATATATTAGATTGTTTGTTTATCGAGAGTCCAATATAGAAGTTAATATTTTTTAATAATGAAATATTCTACAAGATTCTTTGTTTTATAATTTGTAGTAAAATCTTTTTTTGTAGTAATATAAAATTTGAAAAACAGAGAGTTGAAAGTATTTTTCAGGTCGAAAGTTTATAAAATAAAATTTATAGACATTTATATAAATACAAGGAAAAAAAATTTTGGCTGTAGCAAGCAGAAATATTCAGTTAGTTGAGTTTTAGTTAGAGCAACATGTAGCCTGTTCTCACTAACTGAAGCGTTGTTTATATTAACAAATGCTTTCGGTTAGAAGAACCAAAATTTTCCGTTTCGAGTATGCTGCCATCGTAGCGAACCATTCGATTACCCGCACATAGTGCGCGAAGTGAGGTGTAGTGAATTGTAACAAGAAGCGATCTCTCTGTTATTAGAAACGAAAAGATCTGATAGACGAATCCAGCGATTTTGGCGCTTAATAGCACTTGTACCTCACCCAACGGCAATAACACAGGTAAGGGTGCCGTCAAATACAGCCCTCAATCCGTAATCCGCACCGGATGTCCACAAAACTTAGTAGAAATTGCGTTCGTAACGTTACGTGTATTTTATCTCCTTATGTCCCATGGAGCCGTTATTCCGTAAAAGTTACTAGTAATATAGTTTTTACTAGTAATGCTTTTTCTAATTTTATCTATTTGACTAAATTTGACGGTTTAAGTAAAGTTTTTGTTATAATCAAGATAATATTCTGCAGTTTTCTTATGAAATAAATTAAAGATAATCAATATAACTTGTTAAATAAAAAAATAATGTAAAGCATTACTAGTAAAAACTGGTAACTTTTACGGAATGCATTATTGCATTTATAAAATGTATTAAATAAGAATATGTCTAAACTCTATCGCGAAAACTTCCATTATATAAACAAAATTATCGGTTTGTGAAAAACAAAAATAATTGCAAAGGTAATCGAAAATTTATCTCCAGCAACCAAAACACCCAATACCGCGAGCCATACTATATAGCTATTACAAATAAAAGTGAATAGCTACAGCGGCAAAACGTCTGTTTCTTATTACTAAAACATTCGATATTGTAACCGAGCTATGGCTGATATAAACTAGATTTTTAGCGGAGGCAGCATTAACATTCGGTTGGGATAATCGAAAACTATTGCTTGAGTAGTGGAAACCTATCATAAGAATTTTTCTGTTCTTACAATCGAGTTTTCATCTGGTCTCTAGAAAACAGAAAATTTCGGTTATCGTAACCGAAATTCAGTTACAGAAACTGAATCTTTTTTTCCGTATACAAGAAATGATAGAAAAATCTCAGAACATTTCTTAATTTATACACATAAAAAATTTTAAGAAAAATATAGGATTTTCTCAAAAAAAAATATAGGATTTTCTCAATTTCTGTAAAGATTATTACGTATAAAAATTCTGAAAAAAAATTTCATCAGAGTGATTTTTTAAAGTGGATTTAATCGACGAAATGTTATAAAAACCAAAGATAATAATTAACGATAAGTTCAAAACCTCACCTGTCGATTTTATTCTTACTTCGAGGGTACAAGTTTAAATGAAGTATCATTTGTTTTCTCTCTTCTTCTTCCGATATAGGCGTAGGACTTGGTCCAGTTATGAGAGGAATAGGTTGCGGGGATGACGCATAAAATTTTGGCCCACGATATTGAACGGGCCTTCTGAGATCGTAATCTTCTATGGACGATTGTGGTCTGGTCCAAGTTGTCTTCTTATTTTGTTCCACAAGATCGGTAATGGGATAAATGTCAAGCATCACGCTGAACGGCTTCGGTTTCCGGTTCTTCGTTAAAGTGTTCGTCGAATAAGAACCGGCGGTTTCGTACTGTGGTTCCGTTATGATAGGTTTGTAAGTGACTAAAGGTCGGGAATATATAGGATCGTAATAAGGACTGTATCGATGTACTCCGGTTGGAGAAAATCTAAAAAAAATAATTTGATTAGTACTTTAAATAAATTGTAGTTATGTTAGAATAAAATTGGGTAATATTGGACAACAGCTACTGGTATCAGACAAAATAATTGTTTAAAATATTAGACCTAGTGTAGCATTTTAAATAATTCTCGTGTCCAATACATTAACTGCTCCCTGATATTGCTCAATCTTCTTTTAATTGTATTAATTAATTTGTGTAATAATATAATAATGCAGTGCAACAAAGAACTTCGCACTAATTGAATAAAAATGTATGAAAAATTGGATCGAGGTGGAATGAGTTAATTTTCACTTATAATGTATCAAAGGTATTCTGTAAGTACAAGTTTTCACTTTTGATGCACTATAGTTATAAAATTATCCATTGAGTCTTGTCTATGATATCTTTTATTCACTACATCAATGAGAGAAGCATAGTGAGAAAAATGTTTTAAAAGCTATAGAAATCATTTTTTTAAAATGTTCTTCTTTATACATTATCACACTAGTGACGCATTTGGTAAGCGTAAACACAAAAAATTTCGTTTAAAATGTAAAATAAAAGTGTAATTAATGTTGATTTATTTAGCGTTTTGTACATCAATTTGATCACATTAGTCGCCAATAAGCTTAAGCCTCTACACCGCGTCAAGGTTGTAATATCATTGCAGAGGTTTTCTTAATAATTTTTTAATTTTTTAATTCACTAAACTCGACAAAATATTATTAAAAATTCGTTATTTTGTTGTATAGTGCTTCGAAAATTTAGGAACAGGACTCTACATGTCGCAGAATATGTCAAAGATTATAGTGTAAAAATTTGAATAATAAATATTAATATCTGGTTGAGATTTCACGAGTTGAAGTGCTGCTGTTCTTTCAACGCCACTTTTTGCGGTTGTACTAGCAGCAACACTTTTTCCGTGTAATTTATTGAATTTTTGTTTACGTGCCGAATACAAAGGAAAATCAACAAATATATATATATTTTTAATACATAATAAACGATATTTTTGCAACTAAATTAAATATGAGACTGGTTACATTTCCATTACTTCATCTTCATTTAAGTAGATTTTAAGTAGTTTTTTTTGTAATCTTATTGTTAATAATTTTGTATCCTTAGTTTTAAAATTAAATATGTCAACATTTCCATAATTTTAATCTTAATTTGACTCTTACTTCGCCCTTTTATTGTTATTGATTATTAAATATGAGAACTATTCCAACAGGATTTAATTTCCTCTCTCAAAACAAATTGATATTTACGGCTCAACATTTTTTACCATTCTTATGCAATTATTGAAATTATTCAAAATTCCGGGAGGGGGCTGCAGCCCCCACAATCCCCCTTGGCTACGCCACTGCACTACATCGTAAATTAGATACATCATGTGTAAAAACTAACTCCATCATTTTCAAAAATTAAATTAACCAAATCAATTTTTTGTTTCTTAAAATATACGTAATTATTTTTATGGTCTAACAACATATTATTTTCAAATCTGTATTTACTTAAATTTTAAATGTACATATACTTTAATAAAATCGTTCTTTCCAGGTTAATATTTAATATTCTCACTATCTTAGAGTCACGAATTACAATAATTTCTTTGATTACATTTTACAAACCTCACGTTAGATGTAGCTAAAAGATTAACGTCTGCTGGATGTTTCGGTTTGTATTGGTAAAAAGGATCGTTACTATATATCGCCGATTTCATTGGATATAGTGAAGGCGCTTCTATCTCCTCCGATTTATCGCTATTCATCATCTCCATGTCAGGGATCAGATCATACTTCTTCGGGTTCATGTAGACACCGGCAAACTTGATGCCGCGATTCGGTATCTCAGCGTTATTTGTCAGATACTTGATGATGTCTTGAATGCTCCTGGATGCGTACGGGTATCGATATTGCGTCAACTGTGGATATCTCGGCCGTTTGAACGACGTCGGGTGTGGAGTCTTGAATTCCCAGTGAAACGGCGTGGGTCGCGCCAGCTCCTCCGTGCTCACAATCTCGTCTGAATCGGGATGTTTGTATCTGCCAAATTGATGAAGAACTACCCATGTCAATCTGGCCGGTGCGTAAAAATTACCTGATACGTTATATAAATTTTTGCGATATCATTATGATCGGCTCTCTCTTTACACGTCACGATGAAGTATAAGCGAGTGGTGAATGATGTCGGTAAGAGAGTCTGTGCAATGTGCAATTTATATATAAAATCGACTTAGCGCGCGCAATGGCACAATGTTACCTAACGTAGAAAGTATTCCCTGTGTATCATCATAAAAATGATGTCAATGATATTCATATTTTCGGGATTGATCGAAGAATTGAACCGTCAATGTAACATCCATCTGCGCGTTATGCCAATTCTTCCGCGTTGCATCGCGCGAAGGTCATAATATTGTGTCAAATGAACACTTACAAATCGTCGCCTGTCATTTAAGCAAAAAAAACTTTTCGGCTCTAACAGAGTTTGATGAATGACGATTCGAAGAAATTGGATACATTATTGATGTAATCATTGAGATTAATCACACTAAAAGGCAAGTTTTTAATATTTCTGCTTTTTTTATTTTTTATGTAATACATATTTTTGTTGTTATAATGTTAGTGATCTTTTAGAGAGATTTAACATTGTAAGTATTAAATTGGTTAGTAACTGATTACTTATTTTAAGTATTAAAAGGATAATGATCGAATATTAAAAACACTATTGTTAGTGCTTTTAATACTCAAATCATTATCCAATTTAATATTTATAATATTAATATTTCTAAGCGATAATATAATAATTACATTTAGAATTTTTATAGAACAGATCATTTCAACAATATTACAGCAACATTGCAATATTCCAGCAATATGCAGTAATGTTGCGAATGTTGCAGGTACGTTGCTGCAAATTTTTGTGCTATATAAATCTATATACCAAAAATAGGTAATTATCTTCGAAAATAACTTTTACAATCACAAATACTAAAAACTTTTCTTTCAGTGCACAATAATATGTAGTTCACCTCTGTCTCACACGATAAACAATCGCATGATTATCGAACAATTGCTTGGACTCGGATTCCTCATTTTCATTAGCATCATCTATGGATTTCAGCATTCTCTTCCGTTGTTTGAAATTGTGCAGATTCTGCGCTCTCATCTCAGGTCCACTCGCTGTCACGATACGTGTCTCAGCGGATATTATATCGCCTGTTACATTCCGTTGAATAAAATTTCCGTAGTTCTCATTGTCCGAACGATCTTCCATTAAAAGATCGCTCGTACGATTAACCATGGTTTCGTACAAACTCGTAGAGTTAATAGGCTTTTTCGAGAGATTTGATGATTTCTTGAGAGCATTCTGTAGTATGTATATATGTTTTGTTTCCTGATTGATTTTACTGTTCCCCGACGTGGCGGACGTAAAATCGTACATAAATATCGCGACCTGTGATGGTATTAAACTATTAAAATTCGAACATTTAAATAACATTCACGATATTTAGCAATAAAGAAATAAAAGGCTAGTATTGATTAATACATAATTGAAACATTTGTATTAAATTTAATACATTTCATGTATTCAAAATAATCTATTCAAATTATGTTAATTCAACTTAAGATAAATATGTTAGGAAACACAAATATTACATAAAAATTAAAACAAAAAATATAAAAGTTTTGAATATTAATTTAATACAAAATATTCAAATAATACCTATTTTAACACAAACATAAAATATTTTTTATAATACCAAGAAGTTAATAAAATAATTGTTTTTAATATAGCTCTGCAAAATAAAATGAAATTTAGCTCGTTTTGTAAAATTTCAGTTAAATAAATGTTAACATTGCGCTACGTTTGAGAGTAGTATATTGTTAGTTTTTAATTGACATTGAAATTCTAATGTTCAGTTTCACTATAGAAAGAAAATGAGTGATTGCAAGGCGAAATAGTATAATTAACAATTATAAATCAGTAAATGATACTTGTATATACTTTTAAAAAAACAGATGCGCAATTAACTCATGTTACCAACTGGTAGACGATGGTTAATCTGTATCGAAACACAGTTTAACGCCCTATATGTGAAGCGTGTAGAAATCTTCGTTCGCTTGGCTCCCCATGCATAGAAGGGATACCCAAAGATTCACGGTGAAATTACAATTCCACACACGTCTCCAACATTAATCACCGGAGAAAACGCGCGGACTATAATTATGTCTATTGTTCTTTGCGCGTGGAAAAAACTCGCAAAAAACTCCGTACCACTTGATTATCGTCATCTCGGAGGCACGTGTAACAAAATCGTGTGAAACACGTCGCGAATCAACAGATTTTTCGATGTGCTAGGTCATTGTCCGACAGAAATTATACAATAGAACATTGTAGCAAAATCATCGATAAGTAAAATCATGTAAGATATATGAACGGAGATAAATAATGTAGATAAACACACACATATTGCTTCATCTATTTAATATTGTAACTCATTATTTCATATTCCTAATTCTAAAGATTTGACCAGCTTAATATTTTAACTATTGAGTTGAGAGATTTCGGTATTAAACTTAATAAATCTGATGTATATTTTAATATTTTATTGTTAATGTTTTATTTAATATAATTTATATTGTTTATTTAATGTCTCTTTTAAATATTCAGTAAAATCATCTTTAATCGGGTAGAAATATATTATATAGAAATATATAATTCACAAATCAATGACGAGGTCGTAGATTTTACGTATCATTCAAATATGGTTAACTTGAAATTATCTCATTTAGGTCTCGCAAAAATTCGGAAGCATTATTTTTTCTTGTTTAATATTTAATAAACAACAAAAATGAAATAAATTTAAGAGCGTTATGCGCATCAAGTGGCACGCAGCCAAAATATTAACAAGTATTTGTAATATGATATTAATGCTTTCTTATTAAATAGAATCATTATTATGTCACAACAGATATAAGAGGAATAAATCTATAAATATATAATAAAAAAATATATTGATTGTTAAAATATATAGGAAAAAATTTTTTAATATATTCGATAAATACAGTAATTAAAATTATTTATCATGTAATTATGGATTAATTAACATTATGTTTTTTTAATTTTTCTACTTTTGAGCTTTAGTTATAAATTTCAATCTTAAGCTTTAGTTGTGTCCTGAAATATTTTTTAACACTTAATAAATGTAACTAATAATTAATTTATAATTCTACACGCTCGATTACTCACCAGTATTACTGTTACTACCACCATAACTCCGATCGCAAATTTTCTTACAATTAAACCGTAGCGACTCCTATTATATCGATCACCGCGATCAGAATAAAGTCCTAGCTCGGATGTACTTATAGCGGATCTCCTGCCAGTTTCAAGCATCGCCTTCTGAGAGGTCTGGTGACTGATGTCCTTTATGATTACACATTGATGATACTGAGCTTAATTAATCAGCTTACCGTTGACATGCCTCGAATTGTTGATTTGTTTCACCTTGCCATTGTTGTAAACGCGAACGACAGGTATTCGTCGACAATGATTATTTTGACAAATGAAGAAGACTGTTTTAATCCAATGCAATAGTTCGATATTTCAAACCATATAGAACACACGACGTTACTCTTTTGCCGCTACCCACGCAACTAACGATCGAGCACTTCTCGACATGCAGTTTTCACTTAGTGATTCTATCAGTGCCGTGGAGATTTCCTTTGTTTGTGGGGGAGGCTCGTTATGGTAAGTAGAAGGCAGGTGGTTATGGGCTACTTATTTTGATGCCAGAACTCGAGTGCCACCGGAGCACACATGCAAGGAAAATCTCTCACCGTTCTGGTGCTTGACCTGCTAAATACGCTTCTAACGTTCCATTTTCGTCCACTCATTCATCAAGACGACACTACAATTTTTGCCCGTGATATGCACTTTTGTTACAAGTATCTATACGCAAGTATCAAGAATAATAGAAAGCGTCAGACGTTTGCAGCGAGGACCCTCGAATTTTAATATGTTTATTTTACGGAATAATGGGTACTTATATGTACAAATCTATAAAAATCTATAAAAATCTACTGTAAGTCGCTGCGAGTTATAAATAAAAATTTTCCTTTAAAAAAAACTGACTCATTAATATATTATTTAAAAAAAAATATTTGTAACTGTCATGAAAAAATAATTAAATATCGACTAATAGTTTATACTAAAGTTTTATAGTAATACTAATAATTTTATATACAATTAAAGAACTAAAACTAAAAGTTTTAAAACATTTTTTAATTGATTTTTTTAACAGTAAAATAATTCTTTATATACAATAATTGTGTTATTAAATCTAAAGAATTAAATGTTAAATAAAGACATTTTTATAGATATTTAAAAAAGTATTCCTACAAGTGTTAATTTTTTAATTTATAATATTTCCAAGTTATAATGGAGAGAGATGTCAAACTTTTAAGATACAACTCTCCATCAAAAAATTTGATGATTAAACATGTTTTAATGCATGGTGTATTTTATATAATTGTTAATATATTATAATTGTGCTTTTAAATGTACAAATATGTGTTTTTTACTGATTGTATGTAACTAAATGTACTAAATGTATTATGATAAGCATCTCTGTATGTATGCTTTTGTATATCGTTTTATTGTAATTGCAATCAGTATTTTTCGCCATATGTTAATTCATTTGTCTACTGGGAGGCTTAATAGCAGCAGTCTTGCTGGCGCCTCACTAATTGTATTTATACAATATTTTTGTAATCTCTCTTTTTTTCACAATTTCCTGTAGTCTTTATGCATAATAAAATAATAATAATAATAATAATAATAATATTGTAATAATAATAATAATAACAACAATCCTGTATATGTGTATGGTATATACATGTATACATATATATATCACACATAAGTATAATATACATATAAAAGTATATACATATATATACTTATTATTTTCATGTTAAAAGCATCGCTGAATTTTATAAAATGTAAAATACGCAACATCTGGAAATTATTTCTGATTTTGATATGTTTTTTGTGTATCGAATTGAAAATACATATTATGTTAGAACAGAAAGATATGTAAGTACATTTTTCTAAAAATTTTTATTCCTTTTCTATACTCGTTACATATGTAAAGAGACATTCGTCGGTCGACTAAATTCTTGTTTAAAAAGAACATTGCGATAAAAATGATTGATATATAAAAAAATGATACTCTCTAAATGTTTGGCGAATGATTCAGCGCTACCTATATCGGTCATTAAATAATCTTTACTAATATTAATATTACTCATACTAATATTTAAGATTTCGTTAATCGGTAACGCGCTGCAAGCTGCCCATGTCAGTCCATGTCACTTTCATCGTTTGCGAGTATCAAATGGAATGTCGGGGATCGGGTAATTGTATCCTAAAGTTGGCCTGGGTGTTGTAGGCGGTAGAGTTGGAGGTGGTGCAGGCCTTCCGGTTGGTGGCGGCAAAGTTGGCGTACTGGGTGTAATGCTGTAAATAGGTGAGGGTGGTGGTGGCGCCGTGATAGTTGGATATACTGGCCTTGGGGTTGACGGCGGAAGATACGGTGGCGGTCGAGTCGGTGAATAGGCAGGCGTGGTCTGACTATACGTGATACTCGAAAATGTTCTTGTAGATGGAGTATATCTCGTAGTGGTAGGGGTATATCTGGTCGTGGTAGGGGTATATCTGGTTGTGGTTGGGGTGTATCTGGTCGTAAAAGGAGTCGTCGTGCGTATACTTTGAGTATATCTGGTGGATGGCTCAGAGTAAGGCGGAAGATAAGTAGATGGCTTGGCAGTGACTCGTGTACTGATTTCAGGAATAGGTCGCGTAATATATTGTGTAGTAATTCTAGGCGTAGGTCTCGTAGTAAAACGAGTAGATGTTTTCGTAGAATACTTTCCAAATTCAGTTTCGAATGATCCAGCTTCGTATTCTATAGCTCCTTGTGTTGTTGTCCTTGGTGGTACATAGGGAGGTCTAGTTGAAAGTGGCGGCAAGTAAGAAGGTGCGGTTTTAGGTGGAGGAGGAGGAGGTGGTGGCGTCCTTGGTGGTGTTCTTGATGGAGGAGTTTGTGGGGGCGGTATGTATGGCGGCGGTGTTCTCGGTGGAGGAGTTTGTGGAGGCGGTATGTATGGAGGCCTTGTATATGGTGGCGGCGTTCTTGGTGGAGGAGTTTGTGGAGGTGGAGTATACGGTGGCGGTGTTCTTGGTGGTGGAGTCTTTACAGGTGGTAAATACGGCGGTTGTGTTCTCGATGGAGGAGTTTGTGGAGGCGGTGTGTACGGAGGCCTTGTATATGGTGGCGGCGTTCTTGGTGGAAGAGTTTGTGGTGGTGGAGTATACGGTGGCGGCGTTCTTGGTGGTGGAGTCTTTATAGGTGGTATGTATGGCGGCGGTGTTCTCGGTGGAGGAGTTTGTGGAGGCGGTGTGTATGGAGGTCTTGTATATGGTGGCGGCGTTCTTGGTGGAGGAGTTTGTGAAGGTGGAGTATACGGTGGCGGCGTTCTTGGTGGTGGAGTCTTCACAGGTGGTAAATATGGTGGTTGTGTTCTCGGTGGAGTTTGTAGAGGCGGTGTATATGGGGGCCTCGTATACGGAGGCGGTGTTCTTGGTGGTGGAGTTTGTGGTGGTGGTATATACGGTGGCGGTGTTCTCGGTGGAGGAGTTTGCGGAGGAGGTGTGTATGGGGGTCTTGTGTATGGTGGCGGCGTTCTTGGTGGTGGAGTCTTCACAGGTGGTAAATATGGTGGTGGTGTTCGCGGTGGAGGAGTTGGTGGTGGCAGGGTTCTTGGTGGCGGTGTGTATGGAGGCGGTGTTCTCGGTGGAGGAGTTTGTGGGGGTGGTGTGTATGGGGGCCTTGTGTATGGTGGTGGCGTTCTTGGTGGAGGGGTTTGTGGAGGCGGTGTATATGGGGGCCTCGTATATGGTGGCGGTGTTCTTGGTGGTGGAGTTTGTGGTGGTGGTATATATGGTGGAGGTGTTCTTGGTGGAGGAGTTTGCGGAGGAGGTATGTATGGGGGCCTTGTGTATGGTGGCGGTGTTCTTGGTGGAAAAGTTTGTGTAGGGGGAGTATACGGTGGCGGCGTTCTTGGTGGTGGAGTTTTTACAGGTGGTAAATATGGTGGTTGTGTTCGTGGTGGAGGAGTTGGTGACGGCAAAGTTCTTGGTGGCGGCGTTCTTGGTGGCGGCGTTCTTGGTGGCGGCGTTCTCGGTGGCAATGTAAATTCTGTACTTGGACTTGTATAAACGTATCCTCCGCTTGTTACTGGAGGTGGTGGTATTCTTGATGGCGGTGTTCTAGGCGGTGGTGGTGGTGTTCTAGGCGGTGTTGGGAATGGAGTCCTTGGGGTTGTATATGTATATCCATCTGTCACACGTGTTGATGTTCTTGGTGGTGGTGGTGGTGGTGGTGGCGTTCTTGGTGGTGGTGGTGGTGTTCTAGGCGGTGTCGGGAATGGAGTTCTCGGGGTTGTATATGTAGGTGGTGGCGTTTTTGGTGGCGTTGGGAATGGAACCTTTGGAGTAGTGTATTCATATCCATCTGTTACATATGTCGATGTTCTTGGTGGCGATGGTGGTGTTCTTGGTGGTGGCGGTTGTGTTCTAGGCGGCGTTGGGAATGGAGTCTTCGGAGTTGTATATGTATATCCTTGTGTCACCACATAAGTTGATGTTCTTGGTGGTGATGTTCTTACCGTTGTCTGAACCCTTGGAGTTGTATAAGTATATGATGGTAGTGTCGCCGTGGTTGGCCTCAATATTATACTTGTCTGTGTCTCTCTGTCGACGTATAATCATAGCTTACGATGTGTTTGATGAGAAATTACTAAATTATTAATTATTATTACATAAATATAGCTTTTGGTTATTAATAAAACTTGAAGATAAAATGTGAAGATAAATCTAATCAGATTAATATTTAAAGGAAGGTCGACAATATCAAATCATCTTGTTTTTGAATTATATTTTTTAAAAATAAATCTTTGGAACATAAATTAAAAAATGTCTTTTACCAAATAATACTTATTATAATACTGTGTCAAATTTTGTAGTAATTAATTTTTTCATAAAATAAACAGTAAAATAAACATAAAGAATATTTTTTTAGGAGATCTATATCAGTAATGTCGACTTTCCTTTATATACACTACGCAACAAAATTATCGCAACAAAATTTTTCATCGAAATTTTGCCATTTTTCAAATGCGCATAACTCGGTCAATTTTCATCATATCAAGACGATTTTTTTTCATTTTGTAGGTAATTATCTGTACTTTAAGAAAAACTTGATACGAAATTAGTGCAAGTCGATGCCGCATCTCCATGTTTTGATAAAGCCCAAGCATTTTTTTTCTTAAAAAATTTGATTGTTTGACGCGCTACCTGGAGCGCCTCGATTTTTTTTTCAAAAATACCACATACGCCATCGTAAAGTATACATTTCAACAAACAATTTGAAAAAAAATTCGAGTCTCTACGATTTTTTTTGACCGAGTAATGCCATTTTGAAGTTATTCAGGCGTTTTTAACGAATATCGCGATAGAGTACCGAAACATTATGGGGAAGGATCCGTATTGAACGTTAATTTTATTATGCAGAGTGAATATCAACAAAAAAATATAGAAAAGCACAGGATATTTTATTTTCTTACTAAACATGCCTCGGGTTACTGAAATTCAATCTTTATTCTCGTCAAGCTTCATTCCCGATTTGCCGTGCAACCCTTGTTGAGACGCGCAGAGCTTTATTGACAATGTTGCGATTCTCCCAATTCGTAATTACCCTAGGTCGACCTTGACCAGGCCTCCGATGATAAGAATTTGTTTCTTGGTACCGACTAAAAACACGCGATACTGTCGAACGATTAATACCCATTCTTATTGCTCAAGTTTTTCTTAAAGTACAGATAATTACCTACAAAATGAAAAAAAATCGTCTTGATACGATGAAAATTGACCGAGTTATGCGCATTTGAAAAATGGCAAAATTTCGATGAAAAATTTTGTTGCGTAGTATATGTATTAAAAATAATAATTATATAAGTGTTTTAAGGTTTTCTTGATTACTTACACAGGAGGTAAAGTAAAAGGTTTAGATGGTGTCTCATAGACGTATCCCTGGAACTGTGGGTTATTTTCTATTGCACGTTTGCTTCTCTTACGATTTGCATCTGTATGACACACGGAGAGCACGGCCACCAGAATGACCGCCCACAGCAACTTCCACTGTAACACAACTTTTATTAAAATTTCACCATAGTATAGATCGAGCATATTATTATGACAAAGCAATGATTTACGTTAGCCCGCGTCCACAAAAAAAAGAAAAAGAACACATACAGCTCAGATGTTTCTTTTTTTCTCTATTAGAAGACTGTTTATTATCTGTTAAAGAGAGAGAAAAGATTTGAGTTATGTCTTTCACACGCTAGATATCTCTCTCACATATTTGATGTACTTACTATGTCTATACGATAAAAACTAACTTGATTATGTTTACATGTATATTTGATTAATGATAACTATCATTAGAAATATTTTTAAAGCTCCTAGATAATTATCGCATCAAGGATCGTTGATAAAAAGAGTAAATAAAAAAATTACTTCATTTACTCTTTCCCGTAGTAATTAGGCGTGCATTCACTTATGCAATTGTAATGTATATCGTAATATATCGAAGATCATCTCCGTGGGATTATCTCACGCTTCACCTACGATGATCTTACATAACGCATCTCAGCCACGAGGCACTATGACGATGATGATCGTGAAAGGTTTGCGAGTATAGAATATGATGTATTGTCTTTTCATTGATTAACGTTTGACGATGCGAACAGTGCTTTTATTTATTACGCGTGCTTCCTATTTATATATATATATATAT